CTAAATGCTTTCCAAATATTTTCACATTTTATCCTTGCAGCAAACCTGGTAGGTAGATGCTATTGTTATTATCTTTACTTTGCAGATGAGGAAAATGAAGTAAACAGAAGTGACTTGCCCAGGAACATAAAACTAGGAAATATCCAAGGCAGGATTTGACCTCAGTCTTCCTAACTGCAGGCCCAGCACTTTGTTCACTCCCTCTTTCCATTATGTCAGCTAACTTCCCCTAAGTACCATTTAGCAACTAATTGGCTAAATGGGGAAAGGGAGAATGAGGAGTCAATGATAACATCAAGGTTATGAACCTGTGATACTAGAAGACTATTGTGTCCTTGATAGAAATAAGGTATTTCAAAAGAAAAATGTTTGGGGGAGGCAGAGAGTGGGGGAGATAAATATGGTTCCATTGCCTTGGTCATCAATAGGACCTGTTACAGTAATATAATTTTTTAAAAATTATTTTTAGCTATTGTTTGAATCCATATTTTGTAACTACCGTTTTAGTTCATACAACTACTCATTGCTCATTCACTTTCTAAAATCTGTCAGTTTTGAAAGCTGTCTTTGTCTACCAAGTGTTCTTTGCAGCATAAGATGACATTGGTTCAAACTTCTATTCGGTGGTTTGAAGTCTGACATAAGTAGCTGACCTCACATTCCTTTCTACATTGTCCTTTGAAGATTATCAAGCTGTTATTCAACCACTTTGGATAAATTCTGAATTGGCATCAGATTTATCCAAAAATGGTTCCATCCCACATTCCAAAACTCAAACTCCTGATTGCCCCCCCTGCCCTCCTGTTGGGGCTTAGGTGGCAGAAGGGCAAGTTGAAGTAGGACTTGGCGCTGAAGTATAGCACAAGTGTATTGGTGTGAGGACAAAATGTCTTAGAATTCAGGGTGGACTGGAAGGCTTAGTTGGGAATTGAAACCCAGAACAGGCATGGGGTCATCTGTAGGAAATCAGGCAATGCTTGAGGAATCTGCTATGTCCTGAAGTCAGAACAAATAAATGTTCCAAATATTAGGTGGTCAGGAAGTAGCCATCAGGAGCAGAAACAATTAAATTTTATTTCAGCAGTTAAAAATAAATGCCCCTTAGAATAGAAGTTAAATGTTATCAGTAATTTAACCTTAATTTAAAGATATTCTATTAGGGAAAACATTAAAATAAGACTTAAATACAGTATAAAGGATCAAGTCTTACAATCATTATCTGTCCCCTTTTGTAAATGAGAATAATTTTCTACGGCTTTCCTGATAGGAAGAAGGAGTAGAAACCTTTTGGGGCAAATGGCCAATTGGTTTCCCATATACTTCAGTTTGTTCATTTTACTCTTTAAATGTTTTGTTTATGCTTCTTTTTTTTTTACTTCATTCCCACATCATGGGTAGTTACCTAAAAATAATACAATAAAAACAAACCAATATCCTGATTATACCCACAAATAGTCACATCATTCTTGACTTATGGTTTTACTATCACTTTACTGAGAGGTGAGAAATGTGCTTTATCACCAGTCCTCTAGAATGATGATTGAACATTACATTCATCCATGATCTAAAGTCTTTCAATTTTATTTTTGTGGTCATGTTATAAATCATCCTCTTTTTTACTTCATTCTGTTTCTGTTGAAATAGCTTTTCCTGAGTGTCTCTTAACTATTCAGATTCATCATTTCTTATGCCTAAAGAATATCCTGACATATTGACATATCATGTTTTGTCCAACTATTCCCCTAGTAATCAATTTGTTTCCATTTCTTTGCTGCTATATGAAGTGCTTTTATGCAGTGGCACACCCAGTACATTTAACGTCTAAAGGAGATAATTTTGAACATCTCCTTCCTGTATATGACAAAATTGTTTCCTGTAATAATCATGAAATGAAACTAATAATAATGGACAGAAAAATATAAAAAGTTCATTTGTGGAACTTCATATATGTGTGTGTGTGTATCTATCTATCTATCTATATAAATTATGATGCAAAAAACAAAAAGTCACTCAAAAATAAAAAAAAGTAATAATTAATGGGCAGCTAGGTGGTACAGTGGATAGGTCACTAGGCCTGGAGTCAGGAAGACTTCAAATGTGACTTTAGATATTTACTAGCTGTGTGTCCCTGAGCAAGTCACTTAACTCTGTTTGCTTCAGTTTCCTCATCTGTGAAATGAGCTGGAGAAGAAAATGGCAAACTACTTCAGTATCTTTGCCAAGAAAACCCCAATAGGGTCACGAGGAGTTGGACACAACTGAAGTGACTAAACAACAAGAATGATTTAATATTTAATTATATTAATATATAATGTACTTTTTTTAAAAGGGGAAACATATGTGTGTGTGTCTTTTATAGTAATGAGTAATAACATTATGATTCTATTTTCAAGACTTCTGCAAATTTGTCAGTAATGTGATCAAATTTGATTTTCACATATTCATGTTCAAAAAGGAGTACAGCCAAATTTCTCAATCTATATCACTCATAGTTGGTTGAAGAACATTTGTAAAATTTTAATTTGTAAAAGTTTCTTTAAAATAAGCAACTGATATGCATATATCTAGGAAAAGTCTGGAGTATACAGTTAATTTTGCCAAAGATTCATGAAAATCCTGTTTCCCAAGTGAATTTTAGTAAAATTGAAACATCTCCAAAAATTACAATTTAGGCAGCTATGAAATCGTAGCACTGATGCAGTATTTTATTTTATCTGTTCATTTTTTTCATTTTAAAGCAATCAAGAATTTTAAAAAGAAGAGACATTAATTAAAAATATTTTTCTAATTCAGTTGAATATAACACATATGAGCTAAAATTTGCATTAATGAAATAAAAAAAAATACTAGACCTTGCAGTTAGCACCCTGTTTCACTGTTTTAAATTTTAAACACAATTAAAAACTCACAGTGGTCACAGAAAGGGCAAACACAAATTTGTGAGAAAGTGTTGAAATAACTCTCATTCCTTTTCTTATTCTCTACAGTCACTGTGCTATCATTGTTTATTCCATATCTACTTTTTAAACAAAAGAATCCATAGTACCAGAAGGGTTGGAGACAGCAACTGCACCTAAAGTGAACTCAAAGGATTCTGAACTATTATGAATTTAGCCTCAAAAAGAATGTGGGTCGCTGAGTCCATGGGTAAGGGGTTGGCATTGGACGTGCAATAGTTCTTTAGGACTTAAACCAATAGGCAGCTAGGTGGTGCAGTAGATAAGAGCACCAGCCCTGGGGTCAGGAGGACCTGAGTTCAAATCTGGTCTCAGATCAAACACTTAACACTTACTAGCTGTGTGACCTTGGGCAAGTCACTTAACCCCAATTGCCTAAAAAAAAAAAGACTTAGACCAACAAAAGAGTTTTCCAATGAAGAGTATTCTAATCAGCAACATTGCTTAGAAATTTGGACACATGTCAGTAATAAAAAGCAGACTGACCTTTAGTTAGTTTTATTGCTGGTTTTAAATTTTCTAAAGACAATGCACCTCCCCTTATTCCTTGTGCCTAGGGTGGACTGCTGCCATCTTCCTGCACTTTATACACCAGAGCTGCTATAGACATTTTTGTATATATAAGACCTTTTCCCTCTGTCATGGATGTCCCTTTGACATCCTTGATGTATTAACATACTAATTTCATCAATATATCAAAGTTTACATACATTTTATAGCTGTCTTCAAAAAGTATAATTTGAAATTACTTTCCAGAATGGTTGAATCAATTCATAGCCCTACCAACAGTGAATTAATATGCCTGTCTTCCTGTGGGTCCTCTAACATTTGCCATTTAAATATTTTTCATCTTTGCCAATTTGTAAGGCAAATTCATTTGTTTTAATTTTCATTTCTTTTTTAATAAAGGTTTGGAGTATTCTTTCATATGGTTGTTGATGACTTCTATTTCTTTCATTAAAAGCTTCCAATTCATATGACTTAATCTTTTAGCTATTAAGGGATAGATTTTAGTTTTATATAATTGTGCTAATTCACTATATATTTGAATGTTAGACTACTCTCAGTACGGCAACTGAGAGTTAGTTTTGTTAGCTTCTAAAAGAGTATCTTGAAGATAAGCTTATATTTATTTTTATTAGTGTCCCCTCCTTCCTTTCTTTTCTCTACTACTGAGAACCTCCCCCTACCCAAATGGGAGGATTATATACTTTCTTTTTTTTTGGCCAGGCAATGAGGTTAAGTGACTTGCCCAGGGTCATACAGCTAGTAAGTGTTATGTGTCTGAGACCGGATTTGAACTCATGTCCTCCTGAATCCAGGGCCAGTGCTCTATCAGCTGTGCCACCTAGCTGCCCCCATAGGGGAACTATATTAAAATAAAAAAATATCCAGCAGTTATGTATTGTTATGTATTGGGACTCATGGTCCATGGTAGGGGATAGGAGAAGAGCTCAATAGCCATTTCCAAAATCACAAATATTTTGATGTAAAATAAAAAAAAAATCACTTTTCAGGCTGACAGGAAGCTTGGATGAAAGAGAATCTTGGATTGAAGATTTGGATCATTGACACCTCTATTGAGCACAAAAACTTTGAAGGAAGAAGCAAGTTTAGAGTCTGACAAGGATCCTGGGATGCAGAATTTGGGAGCATGGATCTGGATGACACCTCTAAGAATTATCGGTTTTTAAAAATCATTATTTGGTGAGATTGCTCAAGACAACAATGTCTCATCCTAGTTGGGTTTATTCTAGAATTGGAGAACTGGGAGGTGGGAGTGAGTAGATAGGAAGGAAAAAAAGACTTCTGTTTTGAATGGGAGCCTACCCTATTTCTTTTTTTCACCTTGTCAAATCAAATGGTACTCATCAAATTCTTTTGTAATTTGAGATGTAAACTTCAAAAGGAACACTGACTGAGTTTAAGATTCTACATTGAGTAGACATTGCTGACAGGTAGAAAAAAAAATCTACTTGTTTTCTCGGAAACTGGAATCGTTTCAGATCTAACGTCTCCCTTAGAGTTATTTCTCCACAGACATTTTCTGATTTTCTTTGACTTGGAGCAGATAAGACAGCAATGGTATGGTCACTGAATAATCTCCATGAGGTGAACCTGCTGACATTGTCTCCATCTGAATTGTGCTGGATTGGAGGGTAATAACAGCTGACATTTATATAGTATTTTAAAGTTTACAAAGCATTTTGTGTCCAGCATTTCATTTGCTTCTCTTCCACACCATATTGCTTTTATGTACTTACCATAATTTAATTTTTACTCTGGTTCATAGGTTCACAGATCTAGAGCTGAAAGGGCCCTCAAAGGCAATCTAACCCAAACCCCTCCTGCTACAGATGAAAAACGTCAGGGTCCAAGAAGTATCAGTCGATTGCCCAAAGTCACAGAGGTAATAAGTGGCTGAGACAGGATTGGAAGTCAGATTCTCTGCCTCTGGAGCCAGTGCTTTACCCACTCTATCTTGGGACCTCTCTGTGTGTCTTTTCTATCTATGCTAGAATGTCAGCTCTTTGAATAGAGAAATTATTTCATTTTTGTCTTTGTATTCCCAGTTCCTAGAAATAGCAGGTGCTTCTTAAATACTCGTTCATTTCTTGATCTTTCAAACAATCATGTCAAACAGTTATATCAGGTTTTAGTTTTTCATTTTACAGAAAAGGAAACTGAGGCTTAGAAATTGAATGACTCACCCAAGGCCCTACTGTTAGGGTCAGCGGAATAATCAAAGTCAAGTGTCTCCTGATTTGAAGCTCAGTGCTTTTTCCATTTCCCATGCTGATTATAGAGTTAAAAACAAGATGCCCAATGGATTGGACACAGTTTTTTTTTTAATGTAAGTAGTCAGATTAGAAGTTTACTCCAATGTTAAACTGTATTCTCTGTTTTGAGAATAGTTTAATACCAACAGATGTTTCAAGGACCTCGCTGTCACATCATGTTCTTTCTTTTATGTTTTCTCTAATATAAAAGACAGAAAAACATTTGGTCTATGTGGACCCAGAAGTGCAAACTATGACCAATAGTCAGGAGTTTTAGGGATGTAGTATTTAAATCTATAAAAGGTAAAATACAAAAAAATATTTAGAGTTGTCAGATATTGGAATAGGTTGAGATATGAAAACATGGAATGCTTTGTCACTATAGGGATTCATACAAAAGGAAAATGCCAGAGGAGTAATAGAATTGTATAATTGGAAAGAACTATAGAGATCATTAGTCTCTCATCCACAGAAGGAATTCTATGTTATTTTCCTTGCTTGGAGTGTTCTAGTTTTTTTCCCTCTTCCCATCCAAATCCTATTCATCCTTTAAAACTCAAAACAGCTCAATTCCTGCTATTTCATCTCTTTTCTTTTCCCTCTCCTCATTTTCTCCCCCCACTCCTCTCATCTCCTTTGAAACACTATGGTAGATATGCCCCAGTTAATTATACACTGCCCTGCACCATTATTTGTTACTGCTTTTGGTGTGTCAGTTTTCGTCCCTTAATCTAGAGACAGTGACAGTGTGGGACAGTGGAAAGAGTTCTGTATTTGAAGTCAGAGGACTGGCACTTGAAACTCAAGTTCTACCATTTATGAGCAACATGACCACAAACGAGTCTTTTTATCTTCCCAAGTCTTCAGTTTACACTTGAATGATGGCAGTTGAATTTGTTGATATAAAAGCCCCTTCCAATTCTAAATGTGTCATTCCATTAACTATACTGTACCCCTTGGAAGGGGATGTGCATACATCTTTTGTATCATTAACAACACTAAGCATACGGTAGACTTGGCTACTCAATAATTCATAAAAAAGATGCCTTTATTTCCTAACAGGTGGTCACACCCCCAAGTTTGCCTGTCAGATGAAAAGCAGAGCAGATCCAGTCTCCCAAGGAATTTTAATCAAATATGCATGGCTCCTTGGGAGTTGAACAATTTCCTCACAGCATTACTGCAGTGTGTCATATAAGCATGCTTTGTCTTTGACAACACCTGCAGAGAGATATTGTATTGTGCTGTGGTTATTCAAAGCAGTAACATCCATCTGGTTCATTTCAACTCAAACACCATATGTCACTAGCTCTACAAATGTGTCCTGTTCTTGATGAGTGAGTGAAGGAATCTCACATGCATATGAAGGCTAATCAATGGTCACTGCCCATCCTCAGTCAACTAGATCACAAGTCTTGGCGAATCATGGATTTAAGGCATTAGCAAACTTCCTTAACCAAATCCTTTTCTACCTTTATTCAGAAGTGGCCTTTTTTAAGTCAGGAGAGAATTGTTGTTAATTGGGTCCTAATAAAATATCCTTTGCTGCTTTCACGTAAATCCTATTGCAAAGGGTGGCTCATTAGTTGGTTAGTAATGACCTGTCTATAGAGAGAAAGCACCAATAATAGAGAAAGTCATGACTCATGCAGGATTTCTGGAGGATTCTCTTTAAATAATCTGTATTTATTTGTCACTGTAAATTGCCTGGCTAGGGGCTGGGCTTTTGCTTTGTGTGAGGCTGTGAAAAACCACAGCTTTAAAAATTCAGTTTATGTGTTCAGGTCTTTGGAGGCAGAAGGCTTTGGTTTGAGTCCCAACTTCAATACACATTAATTGTATGGACCTGAGCAGGTTACTTAGCCTCTTTGAGATGTACTTTCATTATCAGCAAAAAAAAAAAAATGGATACAAACAAATAAATATTTATCCCTACTTACCTCACAGAGCATTGATAAAGAAAACATTGATGTGACTTTAAAATGCTTTATAAGAGTAAGTTACCATTGGTAGTCCTGCCATCTTCCTGTCTTAGTCCATTTCATGAATCCACAGGCGTTCTATGTCCTCATCTCTGAGGAGTGGGACAGATCAGGAAATGGGGCTCTAGAGAGGGAGAAATCTTGGCACTTCCATACACTTTATAACCTTAAGCAAGTCAATTCCTTTGTTGTGTTGTTATTGTTGAGTTCTTTCAGTCATCTCTGACTCTTGGTGACCCCGTTTGAGGTCTTCTTGGCAAAGATACTGGAGTAGTTTGCCATTCCCTTTTCCAGTTCATTTTATTGATGAGGAAGTGAGGCAAATAGGATTAAGTGACTTGCCCAGGGACACACAGCTAGTAAGTGTCTGAGGTCAGATTTGAACTCACAATGATCAGTCTTTATAAGTCCAGGCTGGGCACTCTATTTATTGTATCACCTAGTTGGTATGGGTACTCTTCTGCTCATCTATAAAAAAAGAGAGACTGTACTAGATAGTCTGTAAGGTCACTCAGGTAGCAGCTAAGGTCACTCCTAGGGTGTAGGATATGTTCAGGGAAGACTAGTACCTCTGGTGTGAGGGCTGCCTTTTCAGGGCTGATTTTCACCATTGGTATCTACCTGATCCACCCAAGTCTCACTTGTGGCTCAAGAAGCTGTAGCATGGGCAGCAGTTACATCTTGGTAAACTATTCCAGCAAATGGGCTAAACCAGGTTGAGGGTAACTGAGGGGTTTCAAACATTTCGCTAAGTTGAGGGAGTAGTGTCTACCTCAAGCATGTGAAGACTTCCTCTAGTGGAAGAGGTGGATGAGAACAATTTGTTCCAGTGGCCGTGAAGGTGGCTGAAGCAAGTGTTATAGAGAACTTAGAGTTTGGTCAGACATCCAAGATACAAGGTCCTCCACTGCATCCTGGGTCGTCACCAGTCATCGTGATTCTGCCCTGCCAATGGACTGGGATGACTCTGGAAGAGAGTGAGGTTTATGACTTTGTGCAGCTCTGCCTCACTTAAATCCAATTCATGTACAAATCAAAAGACATCACCCATACCATTTTACCCAATCTCAAAGTCCTGTGGCAACAGGTGAAATGATGAAGTAGCAGGTGAGGATACACTGGGAGTTGTAGTCAAAACCCAGCACAGAGACAGCTCGGGCCATAGAGTTGTTTCCTAACTGGAAGCAGCGGTGGAATTTAGTAGCCCTCTGGGGTGTGAAGAAGGGGCTAGAAAAGGGGTCCTAAAATTTGCCTGCTTCACCCAACCCTGGCCTTCTTGCTGTGGAAGGTGGAGATCCCGTCCAGTGGTTAAAACACAAAAAAGTACAAAAACTTCTACAAAGATAATTCCATTTACCATTGGTACATGGGATGTGGATACACTTATGACCACTTACTACTGAAGGCTCGTGTATCTCATGGTCTATCATTACTAAACACTGTCTTCCACTTACCTAAATGTAATAAAACTTCATGGATACAGCCGCACCACAAACACTGACATTTATTAGACTATGTCATTATAAGGAGAAGAGATGGACAGAATGTGAGGGTGATGAAGGCAGTGTGTGGCACAGAGTCCTGGACTGACTGTAGACTTCTCTAAATGCTAACCATTCACGTTCGACAAAAGTGAGCATCCCAAGGCAAGAAGACTGGCAGATGATTTAATATCAAAAGATCAGAGTGCTTCTCTAGGGGGGAGCAATTTGTTGCTGACTTGGAAGAAAAGCTGAGCCAACACACAATTGGTAACAGTGAGGCAGAAAAGGAGTGGGCAGCTTTTAGAAATTTGGTGTAGAGCACTGCATTTACTCATCTGGGTCAGAACACTTGCAAACCTCAAGATCGGTTTGACAAAAATGAGGGGGAAACTCAAAAGTTCCTAAATGAAAAACAGAACTCCACAGGGTTCATCTGTCTCTAAGAAGGCAGCATTTAACTCCATCAAAAGTAAAGTACAAGTGAAGCTTAAAGAGATGCAGGATTCTTGGCTCAGTAAGAAGCAGATGAAATTCAGTTTTATACTGATAGTAACAATCCAAAGTGCTTTTGTGATACCCTGAAGGCTATTTATGGGCCAAAGACCTATGGTGTGTTTCAACTACTCAGTGCTGTTGGAGCCACATTGATTAGTGATAAGGACATGATCCTGAAAAAGTAGGCTGAACACTTCCATAGTGTTCTCAACAGACCATCATCAATCCATACTGAAGCCACTGACTGTTTATCTCAGGCTGAAATCAATCCCTCTCTAGCCAAATTTCCAACTGAAGAAGAGGTTTTGAATGCCACTAGGCACCTGTCCTATGGCAAAACACTTGGTGCTGATTCTATCTCAACTGAGATTTACAAGGTGTGGGGGGTCCATTACTCGTACAGAAGCTGACTGAACTTTTCTGGGTTATAGGGCAAGAGGAAGTTGTCCCTCAGGAGTTCAAGGATGCCTCCATTGTCCATCTCTATAAAGTAAAAGAAAATAGATTTTCCTACGGCAGTCATGATGGGGAGGGGGGAGCTCTCTTAGTCATTATTGGCAAGATTCTTGCCAGAGTCCTCCTTAATAGGCTAATCTTTTACCTGGAAGATGGTCATCTACCTGAGAGCCAGTGTGGCTTCAGAAAGGACCAAGGAATGGTTGATGTGATGTTTGCTAACTGATGGCTTCGGGAAAAGTGCTGGGAGCAGAACAGAGGTCTACACAACATTCATCAACCTGCCCAAGTTCTTTGATACTGTCAGTTGTGAGGGCCTACAGAAAATTATGCCAAAACTTGCTTGCCCACACTTAGGTGCACACATTTATGGCCAAAACGACAACACAGAAAAGAGAAGTTCATTAGTATTGTATGTCAATTTCATGACGACATGCTTGCCTGTGTTCTGGATGATGGGTGGTGCTCTCACACTTTCCCAGTCACTAATGGAGTGAAGCAAGGTTGTGTGCTTGCTCCCATGCTTTTAAGTATGATGTTTTCATCAGTGTTGTTAGATGCCTTCAATGAAGACAAAGAGCATCAAAGTATACGCTGATGGTCAATTATTGAACTTGAAAAGGTTACAACAAGCTAAGACTAAAGTAGAGAGAGATTTGGTGTGTGAATTTTTTTTTTTTTGGCAGATGATTGTGCTTTCTAAGCAGCTTCTGAGGCTAAGATGCAACAAAGTTTGGATCAATTCTCTGCTGCTTGTGCTAATTTTGGGCTAACAATTACACCAAGAAAACACAGGTGCTCCACCAGCCAGCACAGCATCACCCGTAGTCCAACAGGCTTGCCACATCATTTGAATGCCAAACATACATTGGTCTATTTTACTGAGAACTCACACAAGGCAGGTGCTCACATAGTGGTCAGAAGAAGCAATACAAGTACAATGTCAAGGACTCTCTGAAGCACTTTGGAATTGATTGTGTGACATGGGAGATGCTGGCAAAGAACCACCAGCACAGTGTGCCCGTATCAAAGAAGGCACTGTGCTCTACGATCAAAGCAACATTACAGTAGCTCAAAGGAAAAGTGAGATGTGTAGATTTAGAGAACCCACCCAAAATGTTCCCAAGGACTATTTATGCCCGACCTGTGGTAGAGCATTCCAAGTTCATATTGGTCTGATCAGCCACAGTGGGACACAGTATCACTTGACTCTAACATAGTGATCTCATTTTGGTCCTCTTTGAGAATGAAGGACGGCAACCAACCAAGGTCACTCCTAACTTTGAAAATCTTTGACCTTCAGTCTATGAATGATCTACGTGAGGAGAGAAAAAGAGAGCTTTGGCATGTAAAGAGATGCATGTGAGTGCAAAAGGAGAATGCCAAGTTCAGAATTAAAAGACCCATACATAAAAGATGGAAGCAGGTATGTACAAACCAAAGACAGATGAAAAAGATTGACACGAGCCTATAAGACTCTTGCTGGAGGGCAAAGACCTGACGAGCTGAAACCTACGAAAAATGTAAAGACTATACCAGAGATTTTTCAAAAGATGTAGCTGGAGCAGAGAAGTAGCATGACATAGTAGATAGCTCTGGCCTCAGAGTCAGGAAAACTAAGATTCAAATCATGACCCTAACACATACTAGCTGCATTACCTTCTGAGAGTGATTTGACCTCTAAGTTACCTAGGAAAATATCTATGATTATAAATTGCAGAGAATGTGATGATCAATATTAATACAAGGAGTTCCTTGCCAGAAGCTGCCTACACCGATGGAATCAAAGGTGTGCTTAAAAAGCAACAAGAAGAACGCAAAAGACACACACACATTTGAAGAGCCATCATAGTACCATGGATAATGGGAATGGTATAATGGAAATCTGGCCCTGAAGACAGGAAGACCCGGTTTCAAGTCTTGCCTCTGACATATACTGGCTATGTGACTTAGCAAAATCCATTTAACCTCTAGATGATCTGGACAACTCTATAATAAGTTGTAGAGGTGATGCTGACCTGAATTGCTAGAAGGAGCTGCTTCACATGGGAGTTCCCTATGTGAATGAAATCACAAAGTCAGTCTATCTCCCTCCACCATATGTATGTAAGTAAATGTATGCATGTATTTGAAGCAAAAAGATGAACAACGTCCAGAGATAGTAACTGCCCTGTTAAGAAGAAATGTCCTTAAACTGGAATGTGTTGTGGTAAAGAAGGATTGAAATTTAAGAAAAGTAAGAGATGACAATTTTCTAAATAAATTAAAGCCTCCTGGCCTAGAGGAGTCTTATCCCAGGTTAGTGAAATACTTCACAGATATGTTTGCTAAACCACTGTGGATCATTTTTGAGGAATAAGAGGGAGCAATAAAGGTGCAGCAAGATTAGAGATAAACAAGTGTTGTCTGGATTATTTTTTAAAAGGGGAACAATTCCCAACTCATGTCTGGTCACTCCAAGATAGGTGATAGATGTATGTTACCCAAGCTGGAAAGTCAGTAAACATCCTTTTTCATACTTGATTTTTAAGAGGAAATGTAATTATAATAATATTTGTCATTAAACATAAAGTATCTTTTGGACAGTTTCATTGAACTTATGGGAAAGATCCCAGAAGGCCCCTTTTTATACATTGGTGTGAAATACATGCTAAATTCTTTAGTAGAAATAAAATACTACCAGAGAAAAAATATTTAGCCATTTGGGAATACTTTTCTTCCCTCCTTTCTTCTACCTTCATTTTTGGAAAAGAGTGTGCCAAAAGTCTTTCAAATATTTCTGTTTCTTTGGGGCATCATTCAGGACCTGGAAGTACCTGGAACATTTCCCAAGTGTTCCAGGATCTAGGTCAGATGAATAATGCAGCCAGGGACATGAATAGTTTGGATGTTCATAAATGAGCTATACAGCCGAGAAATGGGCCACAGAATTGAGAAACATAGGTTTCTAGAGGACAAGGTGACTCCAGTTCTTCTAAATACTATTGTCTATTAGCTGAGGACTGGATAAGGTATGTGATCACTTCATTATTGCATCTAATTTTAGTTCCTCTGACTGACTTCTTTCTGTTCACAGGGTCACCATTGTTTGATACTGGAATCTTTGCTGTCACCTGTGATTCTGTCCTCTCCCTTGAGTCCCACATTCAATCAGTGGCCTCCTTCCTGCTGCCAATGCACAATTTTTCTAAAACACATCTCAGATGATGTCATGACCTTGCTTAATATATGCATAAATTATATATCTTTATGTTATATACTGACCATTGTCTTAGCTTGGCACTTAAAGCTTTCCAAGATCTGGTCCCAATCTACCTCTTTCAGAATCATTTTATTATATTCTGTTATAGGTTCCCTTTGAGCCAAGTAAATAAAACTAATGGCCTTGAAGCCATGCTGTGCTTTTCTGTCTCTTTGCTTTTTGTTCATGGTATTTCGTCTGCATGGCTTCTCCTCCCAACTGCACCTGCTGAACTTGTCCCCACCTTTAAGGTCCAGCTGACATATTCCATGTATTCCCTGTCCCTCTTTCCCCTAGCCAGAAGTGATTGCTTCCCTCCTGAGAATTCTCATAGCAATTTTTTTTCCTATCTCTCATATATTTATCACCTTTTATGTTGTATTATAGGAAAGGAAATGGCAAACACTCCAATGAATTTGCCAATGAAGACCCATATAGAGCCACAAAGAATCAGACATGACCGAAACAACTGAAAAACAACAAATGTTGCATTAACATTTTTTTTGCACACTTGATCTTTCCAAGTAGGAAAGAAGCTATTTAAGGGCAGTGGTGGGCCATCTTTCTATCACTTCAGGCCTAACATAATACCTTGTAAAATTGCTGCTCAATGAGTTTATTGAATGAATGAGTATGTCAGTTTTTATATGAATCAGCTCTTTGGAGGAAATATGATGATTGTCTTTCCTTTGAATGAGCATTCCTTGAAAGAAGCATGTGTGTGATTTATGTCTGAGAGAAATTTCATGGCAAGAATAAGGAAAAGTCTTAATTAGAAGGGTCAAAGTTGCTGCCTCAGCCTTCTGTAATGTTTGGCAAAATAAGTAAAAATAATATGGATGACAATTTATGGTTTTCTTTGTCACTATGTGACCTACAGGGATCATTTCCTATTTGACTTTGACACTGCTGGTCTTATTCACATATATTTTCCTCCAAGAAATAGGTCGGTGAACTTTCTTCTTGCAGCTAACTGGTCCTTAAGAACAAATGATGGGGCTTATTTAACAAACATTTATGAACAAGAACACTAGTAATAGCTACATTTTGCACCTATTACCTCACTTGATCATCATAGCAATCCTGTGAGGTTGGTGCTTTTGCTATCTTTATTTTATAGATGAAGAAACTGAGACTTAATGAGCTTAAATGACTTGCCCAGGGTCACATAGCTCATAAGTGACAGAGTCAGGATTTGAGCCCAGGTCTTCCTGACTCCAAATGTGCATACAACTGTACTTGACCTTGGGAAGGGGTAGGGAGAATGGGAAGATGACATTTGGCATCAAATAATTCCCAGTTTAGAAGGAGGATAAAACCCAAACACAAATAACTCTAATATGTCACATTTGTTATAATTGCCAAAGAGAAGCATAAAACAAAAGCTTCAGAAAGGGCTGAGGGAGAAAGTTGTTATTTACAAGGGAATCAGAGAAGGCATCATGGAGGCCATTGCATTTAACCATATTGTTGCTGGTGATACAGCTTGGGTCCTTCTGCTGACTGTGTTAAGAAGGAATTACAGGGCAAGAACCGTAGAAGAGCATGGAGATGTGCTTGCCACCTGAGTCTTATTTTGTATTATGTATTTTGTAATGGTAATATGTTGTAAAATTTTCTTCCCTAAGTCAAATAAGATCCTACTTTATGTCTGGGAGCTCCCAAACCACTCGGAAGAAATCGATGTTGCTGCCTCATTCATCAGCCTGATGGTTTTAATTGTGGAATCAGAAGTTCAATTTGCCATGTCTGGATAACAGTTCAATTCCAGGAATGAATTTGTGTGAAATGATCAATGAGGGAAAACAATGAGAAAGATCATTGTAATGAATCCCTGAATCTCGTTAAATCAGAACAATAGAAGAGTACCAAACCTCTTAGGGCCTTCTCATATTTTGTTTTGACTTACTTCTGTTGACTTCTCGTTACATTTTGTGCCAGGGTCCAATGAGAACTGAGTTCTCCATTCAACTCTCAAATGATTTCTTGTCCATCATACTTGAGGGTGAGGTCATTAATGTTTCTAGACTTTTGTTGGCTGAGTAAGAAAAGGCTGCAACAGGGTCCAAGGCTTATATTCTGTATAAAGAGTAGGTTAAGCTTTGGAATAGTCATTTCTCTACTTGTTAGAGGATAGCACCAGATCAGATGGACAAAAAAAAAATTCTTACTGCTGTATTCTTTTTCCTATTATTGGAGATGTTGATATTATTATTGTTTTTGTTGATTTCATCAATATTGTTGTTCAGTTGTTTTGGTCATGCCTGACTCTTCCTGACCCTATTTGGGGTTTTCTTGGCAAAGATACTGGACTGGTTTGCCATTTCTTTCTCCAGCTCATTTTACAGTTGAGAAAACTGAGGCAAACAGGGTTAAGTGACTTTCCTGAGTCACATATCTAGTAAGTGTCTAAGGCTGGATTTGAACTCATGAAGATGAGTCTTCCTGACTCAAGGCCCAGCACTCTATCTCCTACGCTACCTAGCTGTCCTTTAATCAATATAGGGCGTGCCTGATAAGGGTTAGCCATATAAATCTACAAATGCTGTGTAACTTACACACACACACACACACACACACACACACACACACACACACACACACACACACACACACAGAGACAGAGATGGAATTGCCTGGGCCATTGAGAGGTTAAGTGACTTGTCCAGGGGTCATATTGCCAGTATGTTGCCAAAGCAGGACTTGAATTCTTATCTTCCTGACTTTGTGGACAACTCTCTAACCTTTATACCATGCTGTCTACTGCCAATATCACTACAACCACCACCACCACCACTACCACTACCACCACCACCACCACCACTACTATCACTACTATTATCACTACCGCTGCTGCTGCTGCTGCTGCTACTACTACTACTACTACTACTATTGCTACCACTACTACTACTACTACTACTACTACTGCTAATAATAATAATAATAATAATAATCACAATAATAAAAGAAAACTTTCATATTCACAGAGTGCTTTTCCCACAACAACTTTATAAGGCAAGTAGTACTAGTATTATTCCCATTTTTCGGATAAGGAAAACGAGATGAATTTTGTTACCTAGGGAACTCAAGGAAAGCAATAAGAAAGCTGCCTTTGAGTCAAATTTTAAAACAAATTAATTGGGTCGAATGTTACAAAACACTCAAAATAAGAAGATTAAAGCTTGGGACAATCATATGAATCTGGTTAAGGCATGAATTCCCGGGAATTCTTTCCTCTTTGACTTCTTTATCTCCTAACATATCCTTTTGTAAGAGGATCTGAGTTCAAATCCCACCCCTGATGTGTGGTGCCTATGTGATGTTGGACAAGTCACCTAACCTCCACGGTCCTCAGTTGCCTCATCTGTGAAATCAGAGGCCTCTGAAGTTCATTCCAGCTCTAGAAAATGATACTATGGTCGCTTATCTCTAAATTCTCCATTTAGCAAAGATTTATGTTTCGTTTGCTCAATTTAGTTACCTTGATTAGGATGTTTCTGCTCTGTAGAGACTTTAGAAATTGATCCAACTCGACTCTGTGGGTTCTATACCATCTCTCTTCCTAATTTAGACCTTACTTCCGTGATCACAGGGAATGTTATCCTTCCTTACAATTGGGTGCAGAGCTCCTTCCCATACTGCCAGCCACCTCCCGCCTCTGCAGGAGGCTCTTGAGAGTATGGAGCTGTGGAAGCCATTCTCTCAGACATATGAAAAACTAGCCATGTGACAAACCTCTGAAAACCAAAAGTATCTCAGTGAGGCAATGCTAGAATCCAGAAGCCCTGTCCTTAGCTGACTCTTTCCATCTCTCAGATGTTTTCATTGAGCAGATTGAGAACATAACCATTGCAAATTGCTTATGAATCTTAGCTCTGGGTTGAGATACTGAGGGATGTTAAATGTCATCATGAAGCTCCCTTCATGTATGCTTGCTATGTCTGTACTATAGAGCTGGGGATGGGGTTAATGTGACCTTTGTTGTGTTTGCTCACAGAGGGAAGACCACTCAATTGTCCTTTCTCACAGATACTAACCTTTTATTGAATGATATGGAGAACTTTCTCCAGGAACTTGAGGTTTTAATTCCTTCCTCCCCCGAAATGAAACTGACAGTCAATGGATCCTCTTTTTCTTTATATAGGAAAGAAACTTAGAACATGCCAAATCCTGTATCAAAATCCAGATTTGGCATGGAATACCCTTTTTCTGGTGGAACCATTTTTAAAGGGACCAAACTAGGATAAATTTGCTTGGTTGGATGTGACTACCAAGTCTCTATAGTAGTCACTAATTACGCCTGATTGGCAATATGTATGTGAGTACTATTTCTGATTATGGGTAGCTTGGCATCAGCACCTTGAGTACTCTTCCAGATAAATTTTTGGGAGTTGGTTGTACAGCGGCTGACAGCTGGCACAGATCAAGGGATACTGCATCTTTCCTACTGTTACAATCTACTCATAAAATTCAGCATTGGTAAGAGTGCACTGACCACCTACAGACTGATCTGCCTATCACGACTAGGGAGAGATCACTAAGGCTACCCAGTCTTCAACTCATTTCTCAGCCCCAGAGAGATCCTGCCTTGCTCACTTGTGGCCCCTTCACTTTAGATTCTTTATATTGAATTGCCAGGGTGTTCGTTAACATGAGTCTCAGTTTTATTGAGCTTGAAAGATTCTTTGGAAATATATGTTCATATATATATATATGTGTGTGTATTTGTGTGTGTGTGTGTGTGTGTGTGTGTGTGTGTATATCTATCTATCTATCTCATTAGTATAAAGAAAATATTCTGACAACTTGGTCCTATTCTTGTGGCAGTTTTATAACAGGAACTGGAGGTTAGAAATTATGGTGGACACCATCTTGTCTAACTCTTAGTTGATCAAGAATTTCTTCCAATATACTTGGCAAGTGGCATCTAATTTTTGTTTAAATATTTCCAAGGAGGAAGAAATTACCACTGCACAAGGCAGGTTGTTCAACTTTGGCTCAGATTGTTAGAAAAATTTTCTTCCCTTAAATCAAGTATGTATAGACATTCTACATATTGCTTCTCTCCCCACAGAATGATTTTAACTCCTCCCCTATATGCGAAGTCTTCAAGACTGCTA